CCACCGCGTATACCGCGTTCGATGAACATAACCATGTCGATGTCTGTAAGCAGCTCGAACGTGATTTTCGTATGCTTCAACATGGCGTCCCATGTGTATCCGGGGAGAGTATAGTAATAAGCGGGGTCGAGTTCGTAACTTTCGATACATTTATCTCGAAAGTTTTCGAAAATATCGGCTAATAACAAGACGTCGATTTTCAGATACAAATCGCTATATTCGCCTAGCGTCCGAATGGAGAATCGCGACCAGACGTTCTCGGCGTGCGCATAATCGCTCTCGGATACAGTTTCGCCAGTCAAAGAACTATAAAATGATTCGCGCGGTGGTAAGCACGTATCTTGCAATCTGTCGACGGAATCGATGTATTCGTACGGAAATACACCTTTTCGCGTTAACAAATTGAAATGTTCTGCAGATAAATTTTGAAATTGTGAATGTAAAATTTTGAGTTTATCTTTCTCTAGATAAGATACCAATTTGTCGAGACTTGCCGTAAGAAATTTATACGAATCGATAAAACTTAATTTTATATAATTTTTCCAATTGTCCTGTGCGACTTTAACAGTTTTTGTAAACGAAATATATTTTTCCTTGGTTATCGGAAGTAATTCGATTTTCCCTTCGAACGCCGTAGCAATATCTTCGATAATAAAATGTACATCGTAACCTGATAAATTATGCAATACTATCGGAATATATAATGATTCTTTGTAATTTAGATTGCAATTTGAGTGTGCTGCACCTCTATACCGACCGGTCAGATGGCAATGATCGCGTACGCGTGTATCGTCTTCTTGCGTAAACGGTTTTTCGCATATATGACAATACGTTGCGCTGTGAAATTTTTCCCACTCTTCCGATGTTAAATTTACCATAGGGACATTAGTCGTTAAAATATTCTTAACGCGAATCGCTAAATTTTTAAGATCTTCGACGAACCATGCTATACAATCGGCGCTACGACGCGAATGATACGCCGATAAAGATTCGTCGTACGAACAATGCATATAATACGCTATACTAAATACCCGATGATGCTGGTACGCGTTCTTTTCTTTCTCCTCCTCCATCTTGGTCAAAACGCATTCTAAGTCAGCATAGACCACAAATGGAAGCCGCTCTTTCCTGTTGTAGTTGTGGAACTCGAGCCACTTGTCTTTGTCGCTCGGCAATCGGATAGCGCAGTCGTTCATCTCCCCGCAGTCGACCGTATGCGACTGCAACTTGGCGTCCGAACCAAAATAATGCAAGCATCTGTAAAATAAAAGAAAAATTTTAATTAAGATTTAACAATCCATATTGTAATTATATAAATTATAATTATTCAAATAATATAAAATAAACTTACCGGTCGCAGATATATTTGTGATTCTTGTGTTTGCTCAGTTGTGAGCTCACAAGCCTGGATAAATTTTTTATCCAAGCAAAGTGTCCCATGCTGTTGTCATCTTCAATGTACAGCAAGTTAACATGCTTGTCCCGCTTCTGATCCGAAAGACGTATCGGGACAACGTTCTTGTCTTCGATGCCGTACACGTTGATTGAAATGTTATTTGCATGTTCAAATTTCTTAATCTGATTTACAGTCGCTGGAAACTCAATGTCCCGGAGATTCAGCACTGTCGCGTAATGCGGGTATGATGATTCCCGTTCTGCGTTCCTTTCGGCGGGGTATAGGGCGGCGACCACTGCCCACGCGAAACACGCATTGTCTTTCGATTGCACGTTTATCACCGCTCTCTTCGTCGCAATCTCTCGCGGTAACTTGATGTGACATCCCGCACACAAAGGATTATATTTGTTTACATTAACAGTCAAATTCTGTATTCGCGACAATGCCCACCCGCTGTCGCGTTCCTGAAACTCTTCCAGAGATGCTAGGATGGACTCGATAACGCGCCGTTCGTACCACTCGCGTAAATCCGATGTGCGAAAGAGTTCACAGTTTCTCGTATTCACACTTTTATTGGCGCGTTTATCTCCGGCCACAAATTCACCATTAAACACAGTGTTCACTTTTACACTGTTGTGTCTTTTTAGAACGTCTTGCACTTGCTCGAGCACGATGTCTTCGGCATCCTCGAGAAATTGACGAGGTTCGATATGGTTTGTATTAATTACAGCACCGGTCAAAATTCGGCTATCAAATGCGGTATCGATCTCTCGCCAAATGAGTCTTTCCGCGTTATTGTCATCGCTGTAATCGCCACCACTGGGAATAAATCGCCTCTGCAATCGAATTTTTGCACTTTCGAGTCGCGCGATTTTGGCTACCAGGGATTGTCTACATCCGATCAAGAGTCGCGGACGCTTGACACGACTGCGTTCTTCGAGCTCTTTGATTATTTCCTCGCAACGCTGCAGCCATGCAAAATACTCGCCCAAGGTGGTAATTTGGTGAGATCGCTCCATCAGATCGCGTTCAGTCCGCTCGATGTTTTCCATTTTCTTCTTATCTTTTTTACACTACGTCACACTTTTCTATGGAGCATTTGCACTTTTTGCACACGATAAATAATTCGCTTGAATGTGAAATCGCGCAAATATCTTTCTGGAGGGACACCACTATACTCTTCTATAACCGGCGTGTCGATGCGCTCAAATCACAGTGACTTGATGCGCTTCAACCATCCCTGTATTTCGTCTAAATCTTTTTATCTTTGCGTAAAATAAATAAGTATGGTGTATCGTAATAATTATTTTTTATTTACATCTCAGAAAAAATTCGTTCTTTCTCACACGCGTGGTAAGAGCACAAAGCAGCCAAACATCGGCGCTGATACGTTGCAATTCTTCCAAGAAAAAATATGGAAAATAATTTTGGGCCGGCCCTAACATCCAATCCTCTTCAAATACCGCTCTTTTTTGTTTATGCTAGTCATAAAACATTCAACACGTCCCCAAACATCCCCCGCGCCTCTGTACTATGATTTGACATGTTTCAATCCTCCTCCTTCTCCTTATATATATTTCATCCAATCCTTTCTCATCTTTTGAATGTGGGAAGGTACAACGCAGAAAGAGCATGAACATCGATAGAAAAAAGAAAAAGAAAAGAAAAGAAAAAAGGTTGTGCCCTAAGATGCAATCCTCTTCCAAGGAATACAGCTATATATTGTTTTATGTTAAAAAATATATAAAAGGAAAAGGAGCTGCACTAGAGTATCATTTTTTCTTTCGTTGCTCTTCTGTGATTTTCTTTCGTTGCTCTTCTGTGTTTTTCTTTCGTTGCTCTTCTGTGTGTAATCTTGTGCAATGGCTGAAGTAATTATTATCGATGATGATGACTACGATATGGATCTGATTGTGGCTGAGAGGATGGAGATAGAGAGAGAGGAGATGAATATTGGTGATCACGAATTAGCAGACGAGGATGGGCTTGATGATGAAATGTTACTTGATGTAATAGAACCGTTGACGGATAGTGACTATAATAGTGATGACAGTGAGGATGGTGATGAATTGTGGCAAAGAAAACAACGACACCTAGAACTACCTGAAATATTAACGTTGAATGAAACGCTAAAAATATGTTGCATATCGTGGTATTATGAAGAAAATGGAGAAAATTCGAAATATTGCACCGAATGCTTTATCCAACGAGCGTTTTTATTTATAGAGGCTAAATCTGTTAGAGAACATAGAACCACAACTTATTGCAATATAGAGGCTATGTCATGCAGAGAGTGCAGGAAATCTTTACATCAAGTAATGCCATGCGACATGTGCCCTGTTTGCAAACATTAAAATAGATGAGTCATGGATAACATTGTAAGTATCTTTTAATTTATTATATCAAAAGTATCTTAAAATAAATTATTAAATAATTTAAACTAATGAAATGTATATATTTTCTTTTGTTTCAGGAGCAATCCCCTGCGACCATCATATTGGATATTTTTATTTGGATGTTCATGCTCTTTCTGCGTTGTACCTTGCCACATTCAAAAGATGAGAAAGAATTGGACGAAATATATATATAAGGAGGAGGAGGAGGAAGTAAAATATATATATGTATAAATGCCTTGTAAATGTCTTAAAAAAATTTTTTCGCGAGCAATTTATGTTTGAAAATTTACGCACGAAAATTTATGTATGAAAATTTAATTTCTTTATCAATTCTTTATATTGTATACTTTTTTATTAAACTCACACATTTGAATAAATTATATATATTTTTAATTATAACAAAAAATGCAATTATTTACATGTCTTTCCCTTATGCTCCAATCCTTTGTGCGCTCTCGCATTAATTATAAGTCTTATTATTATAAGTATCGTTCTCTCTCACACACGCGACAAGGGTACAAAGCAGTCGAACATCGGAGGCTGATATGTAAACGGGGGACAAAGGCTGGACCGAAATATCTCAAAAATATAAGTTTATGAAATAAAGTTATTAAAAATATATATAAGGGTATAAAAGGTTTTTTACAATATCCCATTTGCAAAAAAAAATTTTTTGTCCCCCTGATAATCTCTGAAAGCTTGTCCGCTTAATCTCTATTGTTCATACGTCGAACGGGAAAAAAAACCTGGAATTATCTATATTAGAGGGTGTACCTCGAGAGTACAAAGCAGCCGAAGATCGGCGCTGATATGTAAACGGGGGGAGCAGGGGGAGACAAAGCAGTCGAACATTGGCGTTGTTAAAATTTTTCCTTAAAAAATAAAATAAAAAATAAAATAAGATGATAAAATAAAATAAAATAAGATGATAAAAAATGATTTTTTTGGTTAGGCCCAAAATCATCTTCAAAAGAATATCGCCCTTTTTTTTGTTTATGCATGTCATAAAACATCCAACACGTGCATCCCCCACCCCGCAATCCCCGCGTGACGTCATACCCCGCTCCGCTGAGATCCCCTCGCACCTCACCTCCCCTGAGAGGACCTGAGTTAGAACCCGCCTAGTACTAACTACTCAATACAATTTCCGTCAGCAGCGCGATTAACTGAAACTACATTGCCTATCGTTCCATTGACAAGTCCCAGAGTTACGTCCCAATGTTTCGTCGAATCATCACTTTAGCGCCAATTTTAATCGCTATAACTCTTTCAATACCAGCTGTTTCCGAAACTTTGTCATCTTTGTCTTCCAGGGTTTTTTGCACTTTTTTTTTCATTGCTGGACCGCAGTCGACATCATCTTCCACTATCAATAGAATTTCATCGCCGTCGACTCTATCGAGCATTGCCGTGTTTAAAACTTTACACAAATAACACGTGGGCAATAAACATATTGTATCAATCGGTAATTGATTCATATAAATGCAAAGTTCATTCAATCTTTCGTCGCAATTACTTTCTTTGAAATTGATTTTCCTTGACTGAAGAACATTAATGTCAGAATTTGTTATCAAACTTATTCGTATTCTAGAAAGTGCGCTATTCTAGAAAGTATCGCGATATGTGTTGTCGGATCTTTGTCGCATATTGATCAAGAGTTCGTCGTAATCAAACAATCTCCACAAATCAGATCCGCCCATAGTACCTAAATACTTTTGAACCTCTGATTGAAACATTTTAACGAACGGAGGTTGTCCTTTTACAGGGGGAAGCTGCAATAAATCTCCAAACAAAAGAATGTATTTTCTGCCAAAGAAACCATCATCCGTATCTATCGTATCAAAGATTTCACATAATCGTAGATTGATAAACATAAGTGTTACATTCGAAATCATGGATACTTCATCGATTTTATAAATAGTTCAACATTCTTCAATTTGTCTCTCAAAGTTTTTAGGACCATGTCTGACAATTGCACGTACTTTGGCGTAGATTCATGAGTGACGGGCAACTGAAACATTCTATGAATTGTCAAGCCATCGATATTGAATGCTGCGATACCCGTGGGAGCAGATATCGCAGTCGCTTTTTTCAAATTTATTCTGATCCAATGTTTGATCGTTTCAATAAGAAAACTTTTCCCTGTACCACCCTCGCCACTTACGTACAATCGCAGAATCTGATTTTTATTTTGTAAAACTTGACATACCTTGTCGAAGACTCTTTTCTGATCTTCGTTCAATCGCGACATCATTTGCGGTAAATTAATCGGCACGTCAATCTTGCCAAAATCTTCCAAATCTTTCATCGCGCCGTCAGCTTCTATCGGATGACAATCCAATTCATCGTCATCGAATTTGTCTCCGTCTGCCGTTTTCAGATCATTTTCGCGCTTCTCCATTAATTCAGCAATGTTTTCAAAAGCTTTTTGTATTTCTTCGAGCCTTTCATGATATTTCATTGCCTTCGTTAAAGCAGACTCTGAATTCTTAAAGGCATCCGTGTAAGTCTCCCATGTACCTTTGAGTTCACTCAAATCTCTCCATGGTTTGAACAGAAGAAGTAGCGAGTAAAAGTACTTTTCACGTTCAGTTTTTACATTAAATCGATAATGGTTAATTAAATAACACTTTTTTCGTTTCTTTACAAATAAACCCGATACCAGTTCGTAATATTCGATTTCCTCACTTTTTGGCATCCGTTTCGTAATTTCCCAGAATCTGGCAAAATCATACAAATTTAATGATTCTAATTCCTTAGGTCTGTTTGGATAGTAGTCATCGATGAGCGACGGACAATAGATATTCGTAGAATTTTCATCGAGAGCTTCAATTTCATTGAACGTTTTAACTTTTCTGTTTCTCACCTCATTGACGTCGATCCATTTGACAATGGTATCCGTACCGTACAAGGGATTCCCTAATAGTGTATCCGCAGCTTCTAAAGCACCGCATTCTCTGTTATTCAAAGAACGCATCGCAAAATTCCACAGTTTCGATGCCAAGGGCTTATTGGAATCTATCATTGCAAAGTCTATGTTGCATTTTTCCGACTTTGTCGTATATTTTGTTAAATATGAGTTTAAAAACTCTGACTTTTCTCCAATAAATTGTATGTCCATATTTCCCTCCCAAGCCAATTTGATAGCCGGATTATAATCATTGATAAACCTTTCCGACTTCTTGCGAGGAAGATCGTACAATCTGCTCTTACCGCGTAAATTTTTTCTACCCACTATCGAAGTGACGACGTCTCTTAAAATGAAATTTTTAGTAACTGGCCGAGGAAAATCGAACCGACACTTTTTGTAAATATTTGTTTTGGTTTTTTTTGTACGCATGCAATACGAGTTATGTTTATGATTCTGATCACTTATAACCGTTTCGTACAATGTTGGCGAAACGTTTTCATCTGGAATTGCACACGTAACGTATTTTTGAATGAACGTAGCTACTTCTTCATCTGGCGATTTTCCCAGCACAGGAGCATCTTTTATCCAAATCATGCAATGCATGTGCTGGATACCTCTAGTTTGATATTCTAGTCGCCAGAAGTAATGAATAACCTCTTCTATTGGGTTATCGGTCGAACAAATAAAATCAATCATGGCTTTGAATTTTATGCACATGAATCTAGACGTGCTTACAGGATCATATGCGATTAGTTCACTGATGCACAACTTTTTTTTATCGGGATTCATGTCTCGTAAATATTCACCCAAATCGGACCATTTCCATTCACTAGGACTCAAAGTCAAAAACCACGTCGCCGGGCCGTAATGCAGAGTCATGCATTTTACATTATTGGATGGTTGTCGCCAAAACTGATCCGTATTTCTCAATTTTGCGAAAATACTCGTTAAATTCGATTCCAATTGTTCGTCTTTCAATTGCTTCAAATATCTACCAGCAGTGTATCTCTCTCGTGGGTTAGCAACCATCATCGTATAATAGACCTTTTCAAAAAAAGGTAAAAAAAAAGAAGTCGAGTCATCTCAGTAGTAAAAAATTATTGTATAAAACTATTTCACAAAAAATTATTTTTAATTAAACATTGCTGTATTAAAAAAAATTGTGTAAAATAATTGTCTTAATTATCTACAAAAATTAATGATATATTTAAATAGAAAATTGCGTCGAGAATAAGAGTGCGATTTTATTTTACGTTTATCAACATTGTATGTGTGTTAGATGTGATTGATTGCTGATAAATAATTAGATGAAGAAAAATTATGTTTCTATTTTCGTCGAAAGTTATTAATACAATCTATCTATAATACATCTTTGTCGTAAAATTCAGAATCCTGATTCAACGATGAATATTTGATTCATGCAGCTCGTATGTATTAATGTGCATTTGTATTGATTACATCGTATCATTTTGACAAAATTTGTCACACGGAAAAATGCGTACTAGAAGTTCATCCGCACATCTAACAACGTCTACTAATGTAAAGTGAAATCGCATCCAAAAAATTTACGCAATTTTTAATAGAAGAATTTATAATTGGAAAAAAAACCATTGTATAAAAAAAACTTACGCAATTTTTTATAAAAAGATTTTTATTTACCAAATTATTGTACAAAAGAATTGGTTTAATTTCTTATAAGAAAATATTTAAATTTAAATATTTATTTAAAAATATAAATAATTAAAAATTAATGAAAAATTAAAATTAAAAAAATTTAATTATTGGAAAACTCGACGCTGCTGAATAATATACTAATAAATTGAGCAGCGTGGAGTTTTCCAATAATTAAATTTTTTTTAATTTTAATTTTTCATTTATTTTTAATTATTTATATTTTTAAATAAATATTTAAATTTAAATATTTTCTTATAAAAAATTAAACCAATTCTTTTGTACAATAATTTGGTAAATAAAAATCTTTTTATAAAAAATTGCGTAAGTTTTCTTTATACAATGATTTTTTTTCCAATTATAAATTCTTCTATTAAAAATTGCGTAAATTTTTTGGATGCGATTTCACTTTACATTAGTAGACGTTGTTAGATGTGCGGATTGACTTCTAGTACGCATTTTTCCGTGTGACAAATTTTGTCAAAATGATACGATGTAATCAATACAAATGCACATTAATACATACGAGCTGCATGAATCAACTATTCATCGTTGAATCAGGATTCTGAATTTTACGACAAAGATGTAATAACTTTCGACGAAAATAGAAACATAATTTTTCTTCATCTAATTATTTATCAGCAGTCAATCACATCTAACACACATACAATGTTGATAAACGTAAAATAAAATCGCACTCTTATTCTCGACGCAATTTTCTATTTAAATATATCATTAATTTTTGTAGATAATTAACACAATTATTTTACACAATTTTTTTTAATGCAGCAATGTTTAATTAAAAATAATTTTTTGTGAAATAGTTTTATACAATAATTTTTTACTACTGAGATGACTCGACTTCTTTTTTTTTTACCTTTTTTTGAAAAAGTAATTTTTTTAGTAATATTTACTGCTTTCTCTCTATACGAACTTTTATAATATACTCTATCTTCGTTAGAAATTTTTGCGCTGAAGATGACTTGAAAGTAAGTCGAAACGTCCGCACACATCTTTAACATCTATATATATTATAACTATTTTGTTTAAAGCTTGTAATTATGGTTTATTAATATATATTTGGATTAACTTATCTACACTATTGATTCTTCAGCTCTCTACGCCTGATTGATCACTTTAATTATATAATTAATTATATAATTAAATATATATAATTAAATAAAAATTTATTAGTGAGGAAAAACTTATTTGATATTTTTTGATACTCAATGACATTATATAAAAATATTAATGTTATTCATATTCAATTTTTTGTGCGTGTGTATGTGTAGCTAAAATTAAAAAAACAATTAAAACTTAAAAAAAGTATCAATTTTAATAAAAAATGTCACTACATTTTCTATTTGCTATTTCTATTTTCTATCATTTATACCTTATTCCAGAAAATATAAACATATAAAAAATAAATTATCTCTTTTTAATTTACATTTCTAATGAGAAATTTTATACAAAGCTATATATTTGAAAATATTTATTTCCATTAAAGAAAATACCTTATTATATGTCTTGTTATATCGTATCAAGGCCTGATAAATAATTAATTTAAATTTGTTAAACAGCTTTTTGATTTTGATAAATAAAACACAAATAATAAGTCAAACTTCTATATTTTGAAAGTATTCATAGAAATTAGCATGTATAAATCATAGACGTATAAAGATAGACCTAGCATTGATTATATATATATTTGGCTATATATGTTTTTTAAGCTATTGAAAAACCGCGACTAAATGACCAAAATCAATAACCTTTTTTAACTTGACACATATAGTATATCGTTTCTTCAAGGTGTTGTGCCGGACGCGGCACAGGGTGTGGGGTAGCCGGGAATTTCAAGTTAATTCCTGGATTTTTTTGTGCAACTTTTATTATAAATTTCTTTTATACAAATATATTCATTTATTCGACATTAGTCAGTTTCTTTCGAGCCCTCTCTTCGTCGTCCTTTTCTAAATCGCTTCGTTCTCAGATTTAGGGTGTTATCAATTTCGTCGGATGTTTCGTCGTACTATATAATGGTTAGTCCTCGGACTCGCACTAGTTGTTTGATTTATAATTAACGACTGTCCGCCGCGGATTCGCGGTGGACGGTTTTTATTTCCTCGGTTTCGGGGGTGTTTTGGAGGGGATCGCCTAGCGACATGACCATGTATGGTCATGGGGATTCTTCGTGGCGTTCAAAGTCCAAATGCAAGCGAAGGAGGTTCAAAGTCGAATCCCTTCGTTAGCGTCTTTCGCGTTTCCGGCGAGCGTTCTCGCGCGTGGTTTGCTGAGATGGCGATTTTGCACGGTTCGCGAATGTTCTATTATATATTCTATTATAATGGTATAATAAGTTATAGTCTCTCGGACTATAACATCCCTCCCCCGTTGGAAAAGAAAAACGGAGGTTGCAAACGAAGTTTTTCTATCTTCTAAATGTGTATATGCCTATCCTTATTTTAAATACAATATATTTCGCGTGTACAATATTCATTATAATCGTTTCTTAAATTAAACTTATTTATTCTAAAATCGTGTGCTCTTAGTTCGTTTTAATATTGGTCTAGGCATTCCGTATGTTTTGTTAGTTTCGTCTATTATTGTAACAGTCGGTTTTTTAGATTTCTTCTTTTTATATTGGATAATTATCCATATTATTACTATTATAATAATTATAGTAGTTATTCCACTGGAAGTCATTGGATATATAAATGTTTTTTGTTTAAAGAAGTTATTTTCGTTATTATTTAAATCTTTATTTATCTTTTCTAACTTGTTATTTAGTTCTTTTAGCTCTGTTGGATTATTTATTATGTTTTTAAGTTTTTGTGTGTCGTTTGTATAGTTGTTATCTTTAAAGATTGTTATATTATATTCGGGTTGAAATTCTTCGATTTCTGAAGTATATGTAATTGTTTTAGTCTGTAATATTATGTCTGTTGACGTCAATTTACAATTGTCACGTAGGGTGATTCGACCTGTATTTCTGATTATTTTCTTATAATCAGGGTGCTTATCGCATTTTATTGTAGCTTGCTGTTCGGATGCTGTCGAGTATAGCCAGGAGTGTGGTTGACGTAAGTCAATCCATATCGTATGGTTTACTGTTACGTGTTTTACGTTACAATATTCTCGATAATCTGTTTCGTATACATATATTTTTATTTCGCACGGCGTATTTATATTTAAGTGATATATCGGATGATTGCTTTCGCATATGTATTGTTTATTTTTATTTATACAATTAGTTAGATCTTGTTTTGTTAAACTTAAATAGGTACGCATTTCTTTATTTACAATCATTAGCTTATTCTCTATTTCTATATAAGCAAATTTGTTTTTATAGTCGTTTGTTGGTAACGGAATGACATTAAAAATTTCGTACATAGGTTGCGTGATGATGGGGAATTTTAATATTGTATATATTTTTGATTTTTCGCAATACGCATTTATTTTTATAAAATTTTCTATTGTTACCCATTCGTTTTGATTAATTTCAAAGGGGAAATATGAGCCTCGTGGTAGTTGAAGTACGGCTTCCTTTTGTTGATTTATAATGTCAGTTATGGGTGTTAGCAATGGATGCATTTTACCCTGACGTATATATGTTAGATATTCCAAGATATCTTTCGCATCTCTTATTAAATTATTTATCACTAGCTGACCCGACAGACGTTGTCCTGTCTTTACTATAAATATTGAATTCGAATTGGTATAATTAATGGAAAAAAAAATATTATTCAAAAACATAGTGTTTATTATTGTAATGCTCTATGATACACAACATTCTTCGTCTTATTTTCTGGTGCGTATATGAATAGGTTTGTTGGTAAAGTACCAATTCGAATTCAATATTTATAGTAAAGACAGGACAACGTCTGTCGGATCAGCTAGTTATGGTAAACTAAGTTATGGTAAATTAATATTTTCGTTAAGTTTTCCTTAATTTTCCTAAAGTTTCTAATGTTCCGCTAAACTTACAAAATTTTTTCTTTAATAAGAACCTTCTCCAGACAATAATTAACACAACAAAAAAAGAATTAGCGAAATTGTTCCCTCCGTTCACGTGTGATGCGATGACCAAGGGAAATAGAGATTCATTTTTATATATATAGATTGCTATTATTACCGTAAAATGTTCGTCTATTTCTTCTCGTGTAGTATAATCTCTAATATAGTGATTAATTAGTTTTCCATTATAATCTAATATATTTTCCAATTTGTTTAGATGTATTATGGTGGAGTTTAAAATTTTAATTTGGTTTTTTGCGACGTGTTCTAAGATTTGTTGTTTGTTTTCTAATAATCTTATTTGTTCGTTTATTAATTTTCTGTCATTTTCATCCATTATTCCA